CCTTGTTTTGTTATAATCAAAAAATGCCAATTTTACCCATCCCTGTTTTGTGTAGCTTCTAGAAAGTTTGAATCCGGTATTTTTGCTTAGCACTGATGCCTCAAAGATAGTGTATACTGGCTCCGAATGCTCTCCTGGAAAAACGTTTAACGGTCGGTCGACACTAGTTGTATTTTGCGTGGACTATGAAGCAGCAATTATTTCCTTCCATCCTCCCTATCAAACCCATGCATGCAAGGAAGCGTGACGATGACATTATATCACAATCACAGTAATTTCTAGCGCAATTTCGTATATTGTATGCGTTTTGCTCCAATTTCATCCTTACTACCGTGCTTTAATCAGAGATTTATAGCTATATAGATATCTAGTAACATATTCTAATATAAAGGTTCTTCATGCACGTTTGACATGCAGGATGACAATGACACAGCGACTTCATGACAACCCTTTCTTGCCAAGTCCGGTACCTCGTCTCAGGGCAATCTATTTGTGTCCTCGAGCCTGAAGATGTCTTCAAAGAGCCAGAAGGGCTCATTTATGAAGACGATATCAGCCGGGATTCTCTGCTGAGGAAAACTACCTTGCCTGGATTCCTCGGTACATATGCACAAGTTCTCACAGAGCTTACTGACAAATATCTCAGTGCTAGGGTCGGCGGCACCCTGAACTTCAGTAGCTATTCGTTGAAAAAAATATTTATCATGAATGAAATCTCTATATTGGTCAGTTTTGCAATCTTGGCCTCGGCTGCCGCTGATCAAACTACATTTCTACCATATTTGGATTTTTGGGGGTTTTTTAATGACAATTCTACACGTAAACAAATATGCTCGATTGATATATATCCTTTTCCAAAATTAATCTACTGAAAAATTAAGTTACAGAAAAGATCTCTAGGGTTTCATATAAAAGAGTTCATTTCTTTTTTTCAACATCAAAAAATTTTTAAAAAAGTTATAATATCTTGTTGAGAAAAAACCATAACCATAACTCCTTTAATATGTATTTCTATGGATTTGGATTTTAATAACAAGTATAATCATAAATTGTTTCCATATCAGAGATTATTCAACCAACAGATGTGTAAAAGCTTGTTGTTACGCGGATTCTGGTTAATGACTGGAACATAATAAGTTAGTTTTGAAGTAATTTTTTGAATTAGATTTCCAGAAATTTCTATTCATGATGTGGAAGGCAATTTGAGTTGTCTTAAGGTTTATTCGTGCTGAATTCAAAAATGATTTTCTTACTTTCCAATTTCTTCAAATTATATCCTACAAGCTTTCTTTTTGAAGAAGAGAAGATTTTCTAAATTTTATAAAATAAGGGTTGATTATGAAAACAGTAAAAACAATTTTGAAGCAGAAAACAGGAACTTGATTACAAAAAGTACAACAGTTAGAAATGTTTCTATCCTTCTGCTAAGAATCTGATAGTCAAATAAATAGCCACTTTCAACGCCAATCAAAGAAGTTTTGATTTAATGGGTCCCGCTAACGTATTCCCGTACCGAGAAAACTTTTTATTTCTGACCTGAAATATACCTAATCTAGTTTCTGGTCAGAATTTCGTTTTGAAATGTTTAAATAAATCAGGGATTTTATTTAAACTTTTTATTTCTCATCTCAATTGTGATCAGGAATTAGCTAAATCTAGGCTATTTCTAGCTAGAAAAAAGTCTCCTCATGTGGCTCGAACCCACACCTTCAGTTTTCTAGGCAGTTGGGTTAACTACTATACTACTTCTATTGATGAGGATTGATAGTTTTAGCAAAATAACAAGTGTTAATTTACATTGTATTGCTACTGTTATTTTGTATAATCGAAGCATGCTTATCTCGTTGTGGTTGAGCAGTGAAATAATTTTGGTTATTTCTTGCCAGAAAGTGTTTGTTTCTAAACTAGAAAAGAAAGGAATCTTTCTGGACATAAAATAAGAGAAAACTAGGCTAGATAATCTATATAAAATTTCTATCTCGAAAAACAGCCTCCGCTGTGTACGGGTTACTAATTCATGCCTAAGATTTGTGCATTTACCCCATATTTTTTTCATTAACTTGAAAATTTGCAACATAACCCGAAGATTAAAGAGTGCATGTTTTACGATGTAGGTCTCACATAGCGACTTTGTCTTTATCGTAAGATTTAGGCGCTAGAAATTCAAATTTTAAATTTATAAGAATTGAATATAACGTAAATTTGAAAGTAATATATACGAGTATGACATACTCAAGCTAGCGTATGCAAGCTAATTCATACTAGTTCATATTGGCATGGATCTACATCAAAAAACATGTAATGGCCTTGAAAGTTTGCTTAACCCGCACTGATGTTCCATGGATACTTATCAATAGTCTTCGATTTTTGTATTTAAAAATGATATTTAAAAATGCCATTACAGTCAGTTATAAATACTTTCGGCCCTTTCAAACAATTATAATCCATTGTAATCCAATATTTTCAACAAACTGAATTCGATTGTAATCCTTTTGAAGCATTTATGTACTATTATAATAGATTGTGATCTCTATATTTTTTACAAATGTTCTATAAACTTGTAGCTTTTACTTACAGTCTAATCAAATTATAGACCTACAGACTGCCACTTAGTGTTAGAAAATTAGTATCACACAGTAAACACCACACTTCTCTTTTTAACGCTCAAATTGAACACGCCAAACACCCTTCCACCCTCCCCTTGCCCTACCTCATGTTTTCTCCACTTTTGCACTTCTCCTGCAAACCTAAACATTCTGCTTTTCTTACATCTCCATGCTTGCCCACCCCCCCCCCCCTCCCCATGACAATCGACTACCCCTTTAGATTTTTGAGGGGGTCTGTTTTATTGTCTGTTGGGGGACCCGAATTTTAGAGACCCGAATAGAGAAAAAATTATTTCTTATAATCCATTATAATCAATTTCAATTCATTATTGTAAATTTTAATCAATTATTGTGGATTTCATTGATTTTGTTTTAATTGATTTTTTATCAATTAAGGGATGGAAACATTTGAAAATATTCTGCAAAATATTTTTAAAAAAATGATTTTTGGAAGCTTTTGAAATTTTTTTTCAGTTTTGTTTTTCTTGTCAATGTTCTAAAAAAATAATGTGTCTTATTTACCTTTATTACTATAAAAGTCAAGTATGCCTAAAAACATTTTTACTTCCGACTTTTTCATCAGCCCACTCAGAAAAATTAACTTAAAAAAAGCTTTATCTCGTAGTTTATTAAAGACTATGATCGGAACATTCTCTGCTACTTGCACAGTAACCGGCTGTCTTTGTTGAAAGTTTTTTTTTTGGCACGGGAAACTATGGCACTCTCAGAGTTTTCCAGGAAAAGTCTGGAAACGACTGTTTTCCTGGGCTCGAATAGTCATAAAATTAGATTAAGAATAACAAAACTATTATTTAAATAATGGCAAAAAACTTGTGTAGAGACAACGAAATGAACTAAAAGGGCTAAAGATTTGCATAAGTGACTTCCCTTTTTGTTAAAGAAAAGTTATAAAACAGGAGGTTGAAGAACGATGAAAAAGTGAATCTTAGTTGATTTGATTTTGTTGATAGTCACAATTGATAAAACGGAGAAAAAAATTCCCCGAAAACATTTCGCTGTTTTAGAAAAAAGTAGCGCGGTAAGAAAAAGACAACCAAAAAAGATATATCAAATCATATCATATTTCAATTGTTGATTAAAAAAGAGCAAAAAGATCATGCAAAACAAAAACTGTGAGGTAGAAACTAATATTGCATAATCAGCAATTTCACTGAAATGAAAAATGACAGGCAAGGAGAAAAAAAACGTA